GTACAGGACCACCTCAAATCGATAAACTGGAACAACTTCATGTACAGCCGTATGTCACTCGATGTCATACAATGTAATGTAGTTCAGATTTGTCTTCACGAAATACTCACCATTTTGTTTGCCTCTTAATGGAATGTCTACATCAAAAACGGACTTCTGATTCTCTCAGATTCCGCCAATAAGACACAAACTATGTAAAAACGTCTGAAATGTGTGCCACGAAACCTAACAATACACTAGCCGGCCATGTTGCAGAAATGAATCACGGGAAACAGGAAGTGGATTTTTTGAGGTCATAGGGTAGCAGCTAAGGACGCTGAGAGAGTGGGTTTGATTACTTTCGCTTTGACAGGCAGTTCGATTCATGATGGATATCGACAGTGAGCGATACACACTAAGTCAAATTGAAGTTGGTGGTCTAGGCGGCGAGTTATACATGGAGACAATGCTACTGAATGAAGGCAACGATGGTTTCCGATTGCGATTAACAAATGGCAAAGACGCTTGGCAGGTTGACAGTGAGTCTCAAATTAAAGATCATGTATATTTTATCACAAAAACAACTTTTTGAGAGTTGTAAACTTGTTATATAAGAGTCAATGAATGTGTTTAAAGTTTGCAAAAATTAAAATGTAAAGGTGCCTTACTTTCACAGAAATCACCTTTTCAAAATGTATGTTCTCAAAATTATGCAGCCAAGGGTAAATGCAACAAATAAGGGCATGCAGCAGCAAAGGTTTAGATACAAAATGAGGGTATGCAATTTTCATGAACGCAGAGAAGATCTCGTTGTCATCCCATGATGTACACTTTCAAGTTTGTGAGATATTTTGGGATTCATATTTCCCTGCTAATGGCCTAAGGGCGGTGGGTAATTTGCATACTAATGTCTAATTTGCATATTATTTAAATACAATAAAACTAATTCCAGTAGCAGTAACCTCTATGGTTCACCATCAAGTTCAAACATGGTATTTGTGATTCAGTGTAGTATAAACACCATGCATATAAACCTTCCAATTTTATATGTACCTGTACTGTTTCTGAGTGAAATTCACACACGTATCAATCAAACTTGCAGGTGGTTTGGGGTGGGCACCATTACAATGATGTTATTTGTGCATTGCATTCTGGGATACATTTGTATGAGTAAAGTTGGTTTTAGGGTAGTGGGCTGTGTCATTGCTCTGAACCCATCACTGGAATGTGATGGACATTTATCGTAATAATTAAAATTCAGTTTTCAGACTAGGAATGACCCATATGGATCCCTTGGGTAAAAGATGGGTCTAAATCTTGAAAATAGGTGTTTCATTTTATGTATTCTGATGCAAATCAAAACATATGTCCTGGAGATAATAATTTACAATATTGCAAACATACTGTCTTGAGACAGTTACCCTTTGAAAATAAAACCAATGTGATTTTATTTGTTTTGAGAAAAACTTAATTAGAAATATTTTAGCCAAACTTTTTATTTTCATTAACACATATACTGAAATATTATTTTGTGAATATTTCAATGGCAGTTGATCCAACTAGCCAATCAACAAGTGAATGTTATTTAATCAGCCAATAGAAACCTTTTGTTTCGAGTTAAATTGTGAAATTTATATATCTTTATTATAATGAAAGGAATGCCTTGGCACTGAGAGTATTACTTTCGGTGCAACAAACCTGTTCCCTTCATCTTGATGAATATTTATAAATTTCAATGTCAGTTTAATCCAGCCAGCCAATCAACTGCACAATGCATAACATCACAATGTTATTTGAAAACATTGTGATGTTATTCAAACAACCAATAGAAGCTCTCGATTCCATTTAAATTGTGATATTCATAAGTATTTATAAAGATGAATGAAACAGTTTTGTTGTGCCAAGAGTATGGCTGTTCATTATAGTGAAGGGCAAAATGCTTTTTTAATACTGTAAAATACTTTATTTTAGCTGGAATTAATTTTCGCTGAATAGACTTTATGGGTGTATATCAAATTAGGTGTTAGAATTAAAATTGACCAATCCTGAAATGGAAATGTGATACCATCCACCATCCTAATTAATATTAATGAGTTATCAAAGTTTATCATTATCCAATCAACAAGTGCCTCATTTTGAATAATTTCACATGAATTTGAATAAAAGCTAAGTTTTTTTTTTAAATTTGTTACAAATAAGTTATAAAGTAGGATACAGCTTTCTGTCTTTTACTGCATTCATTGTAAATTTCCAATTTTTGCATAGCTTATTCTCTGTTGTTTTTCTTAGTCTTCTTATAATACTACCGGTATAGTAACTAGTATAAGCACGTTACCAATAGTAGGGCACATAAACCAAGTTTAACATACCGGGTACTAGACTATTAAAATATGTCACATTTTAACCTTAGCCTTTTCACCATCAGACATTCTCACCCAAATTTTTCTGCACATTTCTCATATTCTTCAATATTTCTGGAAATGAACCCTAATTTTGGAGTCAACAGACAAAATTTGAGTAAATTTTCAGGTTCTACCCCCCAATCTTCTGAAGGAAAGTTCAGAATATAAGCAGGACTATTTTGTGAATTTGTGATGAAAAGAGGGAACTGGTGGTGAAAAGGTTAAATTAATCTTAATTATTGATGTAATAATTATTTATGCACTACCGATACTAAAATAAAAGAAAATAATAGTTTATACAAATCCATTAAGTTTCATATTGTAACAATACATTATAAATGCTACCACAGTTTTTCACTAATCCTAAACTAAGACTAATTAGACTATTAGATAGTAATTAAATGTATAGGTAGCACAAAGTGTCAAACAAGAAAAAATGAGCAATACCAGATTTCAGAATTCTACAAATATTTTTTTTTTCAGTTGATTTAGATACTGTGGAAGGATTAGCTAAGACATGTGGAATGGAGCTTGAAGACTATATTGTGGAAATAAAGCAAGCCTTCACGAGGGAAAACCTGGGTGTCACCAAGTTTGAGTACCATGTTAAAAAATATAAAGGACAAAGTATTGAATTTTCATGGAAGAAAGTAATGGAGGCTGATAAAATAAAGGTAATGTCTGAAAACTTGCCGTAAACTGAGAACAGACTTCTCAAGGTAGAGTGAACTAAGTGAGTATTGGTCACCAAATCCGGGGGAGAATAATGTACTGGAGAGGAGCACTTGTAACTAAGATGTTTATTGCTCAACTGCTAGGCCTGGAACTGAGTCTAAATATTCAGGAGATGTTCCATACAATGTATCAATATCATTATGCAAATAACTAAACTAAACGTCATAGCCTAAAATCATCAACCTTGCATTGACTCACTGGATACCTGCTGTATTGTAATTCTTTATTTTCAGAGAGAAAAATAGCAAAATTTTGTAATGTTGAAATTTTTGTTTTGATGTTCATGGCAGTGAGTCAAAAATCTGTAAAAATAAAAATGTTCACATAATTGTGGTTTGGAATATAAATATTAGTTTGTTGGTCAGCAACCAAGGTGTGAAGAGAGCAATATCGCTGACATGACCTTGTGTCACATGACCAGCATTACGTTATATAAGATATGGACACTACCATTTGTGTGATTAAACTATGAAATTGAATATACAGGGGTTACGGACTCGACTAGTTCTGATGAACTATATTTGTAATCCCCACCAATAAAAGGACAGTTCTCTAAGTAGAATTCATTATTTATTTATTTATTTATTTATTTATTTATTTACTTATTTATTTATTTATTTACTGCCTGTGCAATTTCTACCTCTGTTTTTGGTGAAAAAAATTTTTATTTCATTTCATATGTTCTCATGGAAATTACAATGTATTTTTTACAATAATTCATTGTTCCAAATAGTAAATAATGATACCTTCAAGATGGATGTTTATTGATTTCTGGCCATGGTGATTAATATTTGAGTTGCTTAGAAATTCTGTTTCTGTATTTCCTGTTAGTCCTTGACTTGTGTTAACAAGACTAGCATCAACTCTGCTTATTATATAATTATTATAATTCGGTCTCTGTCCATGCTTCCGTCCGGAGTCATATCTCAGAATCCCTTGGACTGATTCCGTTCATTCTTTGCATGTGCCTAGTACTTTATGTGGGACATATGCACATGCAGTGGTGTAGCGATTCAATTCAAAATGGCCGACTGGCAGCCAATTTGGTTTTTGAAAATGTTGTTTTTTGGACATGCTTTGTCAGTTTTCATTCAAACTTGGTACATAGATTATACATGTTAGGATACATGTCCATGACGATTTATTTTACAATTGGATTAAAGATGGCCGACTGGCAACCATCTTGGTTTTTGAAAATGTCGTATTATGGACATGCTTTGTCAGTTTTCATTCAAATTTAGTACATAGATCATACATGTTAGGATACATGTCCGGACCGTCCGTGAGTTCCTGAGTCTGTTCGTCCGTCTGTTCGTGTGTCCGTCCGTGTGTCCGTCTGTGCGTCAGTCTGTCCAGAGTAATATTTCAGAATCCTGTGGATCGATTCTGTTCATTCTTTGCATGTGCCTAGTACCTTATGTGGGACATATGCACATGCAATGGTTTAGCGATTTGATTTAAAATGGCCGACTGGCAGCCATCTTGTTTTTTGAAAATGTTGTATTTCGGACATGCTTTGTCAGTTGTCATTCAAACTTGGTACATAGATTATACATGTTAGGATACATGTCCATGACGATTTATTTCGCAATTGGATCAAAGATGGTCGACTGACAGGCATCTTGTTTTTGTTTTTTTATGCGGTATCTTGGACGTGCTCTGTCAGTTTTCATTCAAATTTGGCACATACATGTACTTTATACATGTTAGCATGCATGTCCATGCCAATTTGTTTCAAAATCTGGTCAAGGATGGCTGATTGACAGCCATCTGACTTTTTGGCCTTACTACTATATTTCCACAATTTATGTACCATTTTCATTCGTATTTGGCTTATATATCATACATATTAGTGTGTTTCATAATCAAATCAAAGATGGCCGAATAACGGCTGTTTTTATTTTTGGCCATATTACTACTACACGGAACATGTGTTTTGATGTAAATAAACAATCTGTTGTATACGCCACTTGGAACTCATGTTTCAAGGACACACTCGCCACAACCCCTCCGCTTTAATATGACGAGCACAAAGAGAACTTTCAAAAATTTAATGGGAACTGTGTCATTTTCAATGACTTATTGTTCATTATTCTGTTCTTGTAGCCATTGAATATGCTGTGTATCTATCTTTCAGTACCAACTTGGGTCTGTAGTGCTGGATGCCATTAAAGATCCAGTTAAAACTACCACCAGTGTTTATGATAATGCTATTGAAACCATGAAAGAACTGAAAAACTCAATATCAACGTTACAGACGAATAATGACAGGTTATCGAAAGAAAGAGCAAGTGCATTAAAGGTATTTTTGCTGATTATTTCACTTCATGAACAGTAGGTTTGGTTTAACACGGATTTGTGGAACAAATTCAAACTTCTTAATGGAGTTTCCATTGCATTTCTCAAACAAAGTTCTTCCAAGAGCATTACAGAGTCAAAGGCAGAAATTGGTATACACCCACTTATGCCCATGAGGTAGTCAGATTGGCCAGACAGTACCAAAACTGGTACGAATATTACCAGAAAGTACCAAAAATGCCCTGACAAATATTCTAGTTGAGGGCGATATTCAGTGTCAAAATCAAGTATATTTATTGTTAACTTACAGAGACTAGAAAAGTGTGTTGAACAAAAAGAAGCGATGGAAAATGATCTGTATGGAAAAGTAAGTAAATATCTGTGACTGAAGTTTATTTCAGTGCATGGTTAAGTTGTTTTTGTGTCACTGGAATTAAAAGAAATCACCACTGCTGATTTTACTCTCAAAGCATCACATTTGATCACATTTGAAATGTGCATTTGCATAAATAGACAATGTGTTTTACACATGTATACGTCACATGGGACCCATGCCGAACACGATGTAGGTGCAACAATTTTGGTACTTCACTAGTGAAATCAGCAGTATTAATTATTTTTAATTACTGTGACAACAACATGATGCATTCTAAAGCTCTCCTCGTCTTTAGTTTATTCAACTTTTAACATTATCTTTTTTTCAATTTTTAAACTGAATTAGTTTCAGGTGACAATAAATGACAAAAAAGCTAAAATTAGACACCTTACAAGTGAACGTAAGTATCCAAATATTTTAGTTTCTATCATCTGATTTGAAGTAATTTTCATTGTTCAGTTTAGTTCAGTTACAGAATGCATTTGAAACAAAACAACGACTTTTTTTTATATTTCAAATTATACATTTTTTTTTTTTGAAATGTTTACTTATAACCAGGTTCCGGTAATATGTACCATATAACCAATGTCTTTGTAGTAATTTTGCCAACACAACACAAAACAACACAACACAACATTGAATATGTACGCAAACATATCCAGGTCAGCAGCCGGATCAGCATATGACTATATATGACATCCAAAATAACATAAAAATCGCTGCTGCACTTGTCACTAAGACTACAGACATTCAAATCACTGCACGATTGTGACAAAGAATCTTTTAAATTTGAGGTGGCAAGACAATTATAACCAAAAAATGGTAGTATTAGAAGCCGCATCCCGAATAGAAGCCACACCCATTTTTTTTAATGGACAATTGAGAACCAAAAATTTGTCATATGTGTAGATACTCTCATAGAAACTATATCCCCTCTGTACCATTTTAATAGAAGCCGCTTCTAATAGAGATTTTACAGTAGCCGGGGATATGAACATTTGTCTACTTGATGTGTCAATTATTCACCTCGGTACAGGGAGAAATTTTCAATGTTTATGTTCAATCATAGTTGTATATTTACATGTACACATATTTGGCAACATTAAATTATAGTTTTGTCTTACAATGTTATTTTCAGTTGACAAGGTTAAAAGGCTAGCTGTGACCTCATCATCACAAAGAGGTAGGTGAACAAATCAACATGCTATTCACAATCTTGTAGAGTAGAGATAGACTTGGTTGAGAAATGAAATGTACTTGCAAATTGCAGCTGAGATTTTGCAGAGACCGAGAGATTTTCAAAATGTGTTTTTACTGTTCAAATATCATGTTACTATGGTTACCATGGATCAGGGAAACAGTGGATGAGCTAACAAGAGAAAATGGAACTCTTGCTGCCAATTGCATTCAAGATAAATTGCTTTAATTTCATGAAAGATCTTTATGAATTTAGCTTTTTAGAAAAAATTTTGTCTGAATTTCACCTTGAGGCAAATGTTCATTGTAATTTTCTATGTATTCATTCTTTTTCACTCAAGTTGCTTTCACATATTTTTGTCGTGAGTTCCAATGATAAAGTTCTGAGGAATTCATAATTTATTCTGTTACAATTTATCACAAATGGTAGCTTACTTCTATTACTAGGAAGCAGATTTCAGGGTTGATATATATATGTTTACATGTAATTTTAATGCACACTGCATGATGCACACTGCCCTCTACGACCAAATTCTCCACACTAATTTATAACACACATGTGAATATTTAAAATTTCTCTTTGTTCGTAGCGTCTACGTCACATGATATGGAGGTTGGAGCTGACTCAGATAACGATAAACATGAAGATGAGACAGATGAGGAGACGACAGATGATGAAGAAAGGGTAATGTGATGTTTTCTCATCAATGATTTCATAGACTACTTTCCCGAAAGTCGAAGATACGGCTTTTCGCATGCGCGCACATGCGAAATTGGGGTGTAACGTCAACTTGCACGTATGATATTGTGCTTCTGGGTGTACCAATTGACGTAACAAAAATAAAATTATTTTCTATCGACTATCAGTAAACTGACATGTTTGTATTATCCGCCATGACAAAGCAAGTCTATTTTTGCACCCCAGTTTTGCTACTTCCGGGAAAGTGGTCTATTAATAGTCAGCATTTGAGTTGTTATAACAATACTGTAATTTACTTAAATTTAGCAGGAATCAATAAATTTTCTCTGAAAAATCTTTTTAGGTGTTTTGTAATGGAGTTTATTTTCACTGATTTTTGATATAGTGTGAATATAAAATACCGGTATGGGAAAAAGTTATATTCGCCAGATTTTATTTTCACTGAATCATCCCTAAAATAGTGAAAATAAATTCCAAGAAAAGATAAAGTATTTTACAGTAACCTAAAGATAAGCATATGTAGCCTCTCTTTATTATATTAGAACAAGCTTATACTGAAAATATTTTTACAAGTGTGAATTATTAAAAAAATAATAATTTTCGAACAAAAGTAGGGTGGAGGATCATGACTTACTACATAAATATATGATGTTATCTTATCATTGACCTTCTTCAACAGGAAAGATTAAGTAAAGTTAGAAAGAAGCCCATAGCACCTCAAATGATGGAGACAGATGGTTTAGTTTTAGGCGATGAAGGAGATGGGGACAGTACACATGCTACAAAAAGGTGGGTTCCATTTGATGATATGAAAATCCATTTGTTATAACATGCGTAATTGAAATCTTTAATAAAATAAAATAGATTTTTCATTTTTAATATATAACCTATATTTTCGCTGAAAAAAAAACTTTAAAACTATTTTTTTTCATGATAATGTCTGTAAGTTTTCAGTGTGTTTGTGATTGAACTGTGGGGGCGCTATTTGACATCATGTGTGATCATACCCTGCTAGCAAAAATGTTCTTGCTACGATTTTTTGTGACAATCATTTTTCAACATTTGTTTTTCAATTTTGAGACTTGCTGCCATGTACATTGTTAATTGAATGACACATATTTTTTATAAATCAAATTTGACTGCCTTTTCAGGGTCACTGTAGCACCATTTAGACTGGTGTACTGCCCTCTAGTGTTAAATAGGGTCAGTAACATGGAATTAAACCATTTTGTTTTTTTGTAAACAGGAGAAGAATTAGACAGCCCAGTCAGAAAAAGCAAACTCCTTCAAAACCATCCATTCCAAAAGTGCCTTCAAAAAAATCATCTACAGCAAGGTAAGATTATTCCAGTTCAGATCATATCATCTATTTTTTTGCTTCTCTGACCCGTTTCAATGTCAATATTGTCAACTGAAATTCAATTTTTTTGTAATTTCAGTGAATCGAGCTCCAATGGGCGCAGACGTTCTATCAGAAAATCCAAATCACAAAATGTGGATGATCTCTTTGATGAACTTTGAATATAGGATATGAATATTTTATTCCATTAAGGATATTTTAAATGACAGTACTGTTAGCCAATCAGTGTAGTGACTGGTATCTAATCTGCCTCGATTTGATTATCACGTATTCTATTGTTAAATGTGTTGCTGGTAACAACTTTGTAACTGTGCAAATCACACAGAAATTATGAATCATTATCAAAGTATATTTACAAATCTGTTATTTTCTTGAGTGAGGGATGAAGTGGTTACCAGCATCCAACTGTGTACACTCTTGCAGAGTCATATCAGAAGTACTAATGCAGGTGGATACATTCACACAGTGTTATGTTGTAGAAATTGCACATTGGATATGGTCATGTGACCTCAATGAAAATAGGGTCAGTATTGGAGCAGTATTGCAGATAGACATTCAACCAGTGCTTTATTTAAGACTGAGCTCATGATCTGATTGACATATATAACATAGTCATGTGACCTCATTAAAAGTACATAACTGTCATATTAGGGGCACTATTTCAGATATACTCGGTAGACATTCAACCAAGGACCTGTGCTTTATTGAAGACATTGAACACACAATCCGGTCAACATTTAATAACTAATTTGATCATGTGACTTCATTAGAAATGCTAATCTATCATATCTGCAGCACTATTTAAGATAGAGTAATTCAATCAGTGATTTTTTTTTTAAGACATTACATACAAGATCTGATGAATATATGCAATAACCATATATGGTCATGAGACCTCATTAAAAATCCAAGCTATCCTCGGGGGCGGACATCCGGGCATTTTCTACCGCCTGGCAACCCTCGCAGTGAAAACAAAGACCAAAAACTCACAGAAAACGGTACTTTGGGATGATTGTTGAGAGTCTCCTGAACAGTGTAACAAGATTAGCCCTACGTATGTAACATATGAGAATTTGGTTGTTCAGGATTACTTCAAAGTTGAGTTTGTGTTGTTTTCTCAAATTTTCAACTGCTCCACCTGCGTTCCACAGCAGCGCGCACAAAGCCCATAGAAATACGTGGTACAGTGGTGCGCGTCCTAGCAACGTGGAACATCTGTGACGTAGCTCCGCCCCCGAGGATTATATCTGGAACACTGTTACTAGGGGATCTGCCATCTCTGATGGCTTTCTTGTGTGTAAGTAATATAATTGTCAACATGTCATTTGTTTACAACATGGATTTTACACTTTGCTCAGAAATTTATAACTATACTGTCAATATTAAATTAATTTTTTTGGAAATGATGTAATCTCCTAATAGAATTGAATATTTTTATTTGTGCACCAAATTGTGAGTAAAAAATTTAAAAATTGTATATCCTTTTTAAAATTAAAATAAACTTTTTTTTATTAAATAATTTGTATGTTTACTATCATTCATGATGTTGTATACATTGATATATTTTTATTTAAATTAGTATTCGATAGTGCAGCTCTATTACAATGTATATTTCCTTAAAAACCATTGGGATATGGACTAGGGCTTGCCAGCTTGTGACATATTCCCTATTAAAGCAAGGACTCTATCCTCAGCCCCAGTGACACACAGCAACAATAAATTATTGTGTTCTAATACACTGAAGTCAACAAACCCATGTTTATACTTCATTTTTTGTTAAAGAAAGAGTTCCATAATCTTATAAAACTGGTGTATTTCATCGACAATTGCTGGTCCAAAGCATGTCTTTCAAATAATGTACACTTGGGTATAATACTTATCATACCGCCCTCTATATTCACCTGCTGTGCTGCTTTTGTTTTAGTCTAAATCAAATTGATACAATCTATTTAAATCAGTGAAGTTTGGGTGCTTTAAAGGGCAGTGGTCGTCGCGCTGCGCATGTACGACATTTGTGTTGATAAACATTGTTTTTCCCACAATCCAATTTGCTATTCTAATAGAAATTACAAGTATAAGGTTTGATCTGGGCGCGACTTGCACTAATTACCAATGGTGAATTTTCGATACCTTCAAATCACATAAAAAATACCTAATTAAAGCTTGGTAATGTTTCAGTCTGTACACGTTGATCTGCGCAACAGTCAAAGTCGCCATCTTTGTTTATATGAGACCCATATATCTCGCGCATGCGTGGCACAACGACTACCGCCCTTCAATTATATTTTGAACAAAATCTTTCAAGCTGGTTCATTAAATAGAATACCAGAATAACTATTCTTTTTAATTATGATTAGAATATATTTAAAGGATAATGCACGAGTCTGGTGCATTCGTTCACATATTTGACCAACACTAAGGCTCCAATATCCAATTCGTGGTAGACAAGATAGAGTTGCAAGTTTAAACCCATGCAGGGGCATTGTGTCTAGTACCATAACTTCACAACTCGATATTTTCTATAAATTCATGGACGTCGCAGACAGTCAACAAATTGGCGCTTTATTAATCAGATAAAACTAACAATTTTTGGAACAGAAGGACTATCACATGGCCATGCATCCACGAGCCTGTCACTGCTGACAGTTATCATGTGAATGTTGAATTGTGAACTGCTCATTAACATTTGACTGTTTCGTAAACACGTCAGTTTTCTTACCCATCACTCTTTAAAGACTCATTAAATTGCAGAACAAGAAGCTCGGATTACTGTCAACGTAGTAGCCTGACATGTAGGCGTGAGTGGCGCCCTCGCCGGTCGAATGGCATCATACCCCACTGTGTTGGATTTGCAATTGGAGCACTGCGGAGGGCGAAACTCGCGCTACCTTGTCAGGCTATCAACATAAGAAAGAAAAGTTTGCCACGCCCAAATTTCATCACTGCCAAGACAAAAATTACGTCCACATTAATGTTAAACAAATCAGGACAATCTGTTGTCATGGTCGTCACTAGTTTACATTTAATTTAGTATTGATCGTTGTCTGTAATGTTACAGATTACTGAACTTGATATTTATACATATACATATACATACTTGTATCTGAATTGAATAAAATGGTTTGGGGTCCTTGTGGTGATTTCACGTTTGAAAGAACGTTATTATCAAAAGGCAGTAGTCTAATTGACCATGGTCAAATTGTTTTATGTTACATTTGTTAAACATGCTATCCAACCAACAAATTATAGCAATATGACCAAATTCCTGTTTTACGACAGTCACTTAAAATTTCGTACCAGTCTTTACCGCATATTCTAGCCATGTCTATTTAGCATGACCGAAGCCCTTTTTATAAAATCCTAAGCTTTTTTATTGGACGCAATCATAATGAAGAGTGAGTTGTGGGTGACATATATGAGTCCGTCCGTCCATCTGTCCGTTCGTACTTATCTGTATCTTGGACATGCCTAGGCCGATCGAATTCAAACTTCACAAATACTGTAAATATTCTGGGATACACATGCACGTCCCTTCGTTACATGATCAGATTCAAGATGGCCGAATGGCGGCCATTTTAATGTTACAAAATCACATATTTTCATTACATTATTCATTATGTCATTTATTTCATTTCAAAACGGCTGACGCATTTCAGTTTTGTTCACTATTGAACTTACGGGGGCTCGGATGTAAATAAAGTTAGTTGGTTTTAATCCAGAGTGCTCAATCTTTAAATTGTGAGGGAGGCGTTGTACTCTGCACATGGAACACGCAAGTACAAGTACATTCTGTAAACGTCTTTTTCTATTAAACGGAAATTGTTGCGAACAAAAAAATAACGACAAGACTGGAATTCGAAACCTAGATATTTTAATCAACTATACCGGCAAAATAATAAATACTAATAAATAAAATATACATATATATATTATTCTAAATGTATATTTTTCTATACGGAATTCTTATTTATGAACATTGAGTGTTATGGTAAGACTAAAAAAAATTAGCATTATCAGCTGTCTCATAACATCTTTTTATTGTTTGCATATTATATGTATTCACGTGTATTGTAATTATATTATAATCTTTCTACTAATTGTATCGTACTATTCACTTTCCTTTTCTAGAGAACAAAGAAAGTAATATAAATGCACTCTTTGGAACCATATATTCATTTGTAGTGTTATATACTTTATTGCATTGTCAAACCAAGAACTCACTGATGATACGATTCAAATGAATTTATTTACATGGCAATGATTCACTATTATTGCTAGAATATTTGGCCAATCACGAATCGCGAATTATTATGTTGACCAATTACTTACCAATGTTGCCAACTTGGCACATAGTGTTTATAAATTATATTGGTCTTGTTCGACTGACCCTCGTGGTCGTTATTCAAGAAAAAAACGTTATACATGTAGATTATTTTTATTTATTTTTATTTTAAATTACGTGCCAACATTATAAACAGTTGTCAGTGTGTATTTGTCAAGGTGGAATTATTATGATGTCCGTGTTTTGTATTAGTGTGAAAACATGGACCTTAGAAAATAGGGATATATGCGGTAAAATTGGTATGGTAACAGTTGGACATCGAGTTACAATTTAAGTGTGGTTTCTGAAATGTTGTCGTGATCATTTTTGTAACTCAATGTTTTCGTAACTCGATGTCTATATATTTCAACTGATGTTAAACCCGAGAGGCATCCAAGATCTCTCCGATCGCGAGAGATCCACGATACTTTTTGGTCTCCGTCATAGCGTCTCTGTATTACATGATACTACCAGACAGATTTGCAAAGTGTGAATACAACTTTGAGTTGATAAGTTATACGCATGTACACACACGTGGCCCCAGTTGCATATTGTCCCATATTACCAAGAAAGTTGAAAATATGTTAAAATGTTAAATAGCACTTGTTTGTCACTCGCACAAAGATGTATTAAATATAGATAAATATATATTCTGAAAGATTCTTTAGACGGCCAAGACTTCACGATGCTGATGAGTTGTTTTTGTTGTCGAGTAATTCGTATGGAAAGTTGTATCCAAACATTTTAAAATCAGGCCGATAAAGTTTGTATAATTTCCTTATCTCTCCCTGTGTCAGCTCTTTGAAATAACTATGATAAGTTTCTTCTTTTGAACTGTTGGTCACGTGAGTGGCACATGACTCCGATTCCGGGAACTCTACGACGTTGGTGGCGTGGATTTTTTGAAGAAGATGCTTAGCATCATTGTGCAGAGTTTCAAATTTTCCGATGAAGTTGAATCTCCTGCTACATACGTCACAACTTAGATACATGGGGAGCCAGTGCATGTTTAAACCTTCAGGCTCTCTATCAGACTCATCAAGAACATACTTGACGAATTCCGAGAAAGTGACGTCATTTCCGGTCTGTAACGAAGAATTGGTCGCTTTTGGACGATATTTTTTGATGATGGACCTTCCATAGTTTTTAGGGTAAATCAGTCCCCATTCATCGGGATTTTCAAATTTGTTTCTGTAAGCTGATAGCAGGCGCTTAAAAGGATGTCTGACAAAAAGAAATTTAACGAAGTCGTCAAACTCTTTGCCAGCGTCTTTAATCGTTTGGTAAAATCTACCGTCTTTTCCGAGAACACGCGAATGATGCAATTCTTGAGTTGTGTTTGCTGTTCCTTCGAGGACCATTATCACCCGCTTCCAATTAGCCTCCGCTACCTTGGCAACAGGACAGTACAGAAAACGATAGTGCTTGCTGATAACAAAGTCACGTGTACCCAGATTAGAGAGCTTCTTGCCCGATGCGATTCTCTTTTGACATTCTGTACGCAGTCGTGTCAACCTCCGATACTGTGTGTCAGTGTCGATTGTCCCCATAGCAGCAGTGGCAGAGTTTAAGTAATACTTCTGAAAATAAAATTCGCGTTAAGCAAATAATAACTGATTTATGAATACAGACTGCTGAATAAAACTATGTCGTCAGCTTATTAAATTAAAGTGCTTACCTTGTATGACGTCATCGGTCTACGTATAATTTTCAATTCAGTATAAGTAGCTGTTGACATAATGATATGCAAATTATATGCAAATTAATTATATATCATGCTTGTGTAACACACGTGGTTGGAGTATGTATTAATTTAACACTTTATGCTGGGAACCTGGACAATGTACACCACATGGTAGACAATATTACCTGAAAAAACTGGCCACGTTTGTATAGATGTGTTTATCGGCGAAGACATATATTAAATGTTTGGTTCAGTTACGATCTGTACATTACGGTGTTCTTTTGTTTCACCGTTTCTAACTCAGCCCCGATAACTGTGAGTTATTGAACAACCGCACGTATGGTTCTTTTGAATGCGAAAAGTCATTTTTTCACGTTCATAAAATAAATCTGCATAATATTTGAAATAATATATAAAATTTTGATCACTATCTGAAACTATATTATGTCCAATTGTTCCAAATTGACAAAAACATCACAGATAAATCATCTTGAATTTCCAAGGTATAATGTTCCATCTAACTGCCTCGTTCTGGAAAGTGAAATTTCCGAGCGAATACGAAACCGACGATTGGACGATTAGATACATACAATTATGAACAATGTTTCACCGAAAGCTTGGTTGGAACAATTAATTTTAAGGCGTTCAAAGAACCAACTAGAATACGTAGACACACAATGAATTCAATTATATCCATACACTACGTTCAAATTGGAGGAGAATGTAATTTTGATAGGTACAACTTACGTGTTGATGGTTTACGGAACGACCAACTGAGCATACTTATAAAACAGACAATAACAAAAGTGGCCAAACATCGCACTTTCCAATGTGGTATCATAGTCATCTGCGTAAATACAGACAGTTGAAATGAATATGGCATACAATACAATAAAAATAGTGTTATGTGCATATTTTACGAATTGTGTTACGTCATTGATATTATCAGATATATAGAAAATGATTGGTATTCGTAGTTCTTCATATATTTCAAGACTTATGA